ATTCGTGTGAGTATAAGCGCACAGCGAGAAAGAACGGCCCAGAGACATTCCAAAAGTTTGCGATCGCTAGGTGCGCGAGGAAGTTTTGGGAGGAGCGCTCTACAAATGACAACGGTTTCGTACGAGCGGTACATAACGATGGATTCTCGCGTCCTTGCAACCACACATCAATGGGTTGTCCCTTTTTACTGCGCGCTTATACTCACACGAATTGGTCGATCTTTTTTAATTAATTTCTCAATAATTATTACGAAAATCGCAAAATGATAAAGGACTTTTCTGTTCAGTTTACTGTGCTCTATCCGCTCACGAGCGTTGGCACAGCATCTTTACCAGATATCCTGTATATGTATTATATAAATGTTTTAAATAGTTAATGTGAATTATTCGACTTTTTTAATGTTAAAAGAGAAAAAATTTTTTCAACTATCTCTGTAATCTTATAACAAGGTTGCAATAACAAGATCGTGCGCAACATATTTACAATATTAAAACTTTGCAACAAAATATCTTTTGCAAATTTTTTTGTTTCCATACTATCTCTCTATGGTCATAAAATAAAATAAAATAAATTACCTCATATAGACGTGTGATTATATTTATACATTTGAGTCGCTTTATGTTTAGCAAATGATTACACGTTCTCGTGGACGAAAGGAATGAAACGCGTGGAGTATGGCAAAGCTGGTGATTGTTATAGCCTTATTGATTGTCCGCAAGGACGTTTCAGCATCAATTTAAGAGGGACCGCATTGGGATTATCGCCAACAGTTACATGGGTTACGGAAACTTCAAGCGCTTTTTTCACAATCAATAAAATCGTAAGTAATCGGGAAAAGATTTGCCATACATGCCATATGAGGTTGAAAACAAAACTTAAAATTTTACTGTATATGTATAATCTTTATTAATCAATACCTTGGTCCCCAAATGCCTTTTCCAATATATTTTTCCCAGATTATCCAATGTTTTTTTTGAAGAGAACTGATTTCAATTAACTTTATTTAAACTTGCACAAAAATGACAAATTTTTTATGTTGCGCGCACCGAACTATTATTTTTTTAAATATGTGAATATTAAAAATAATCTCTCTCTAATTTCTCTCCACTTGTCATGCATTGAAAACATTAGTATTGTTATTGTCACATTTTTTTACCAAAGTCAAAACTTTAGTTGAAAGAACACAGAATATTTTCTCATCTCTTTCTACTTTAATATAATAATTTTCGATATAATTCTCACACACGTTTATATACATATATATCTAGATATATAATATATTATGTTTTCTAACATAATGTATTATATTAGTTATATAATGTATTATTAATGTATTTATGTTTATAATATATTATGTGTTATATTTAGAATGATCAGCGAATTCTCGGTAAATGTGGCGGTTATTGTGGCTTTTGTAAGCCGAAGACAGGCCTAAAACTGGATGTATTATCTCCCTAGTCACAGCCATCAAGTTTTCGTACTACATTTATTTGTTCTATATATCCCGCGACATGAGCCGTGATATTATATTTAACCACCGATTTGCTTTAAACACGATTAGTTTCTTAGTAGCTTTCGAGATATATATATGTGTGTGTGGGATAATGATACCGATTGGCGAGTTGCTGATCGATATAACAAGATGCACATGACACAATGTATAAGCTATCACTGCCATCATGTGTGCGATTATATAAATTAAAATTTTGAGTTATAAAGCCTATATTGTTTTGAACATATGTTGCGTTTCATGATGGTTCGTAAACAATGTTCTAAAGTCGAATTTTTATACATTCTATTAAATAATCTATGATAATGTGCATAAGAGTAAATATTTGCGACATAGCAAGAGACGATCGTTTTGAAAGCAGATAGAATATAGTCAAAGATCCATATTTTATCCTATCATAGTTGCAATAGTTTTCTCCTTTATCCAGTGAATTTATCACTATAAAATGTAGATAGTAATACGCATGTGTGTTTGCGCATTTAAATATGCAAAGATATTTATGCCAAATTAACAATATAATCGTGCTGTGTTTGTAGAAGGTATAGCGTCTTTATAAATGTAAAAGTAAAAAACTTGAAAAAAATAAAAGGAAAACAAAGAAATATTCTCTATTCTTTGAAATATTTTTCTTTCCAGTTATAGAAGCGGTTTTTTCCCCTCTTTCACGCACGACAGATTGAATTCAGCAAATATAACATAGAAAATTAATAAAATATTTATTATTACATGTATTTTATACAAAAACTTGAAATAATCGATAATGACGCATTATATTCTACAAACATTTTACGATTGATGTTACGCTCTCTTTTTATAATTTTATGATTCTACAGTTTGTTTTTATCGAGATTCACTGCCGTATTTTTATAATGCTCTATCAATTTTAAAAAGAAGAAATATTAAGGAAAAATTGATATTTTATTTTTATTTTTAGTACTAAAATCTCTTTATATATACTATATATATATATACTACACACACACACACACACACACACACAAACACACACACACACACACACACACACACACACACACA